TAAAAAAAGACTATCTAAATGTTGGATTGAAGTACTTTCAATTACAATAGTTCCTCTCTATATATTACACGTTCGTAATTATTAATTTAGTAAGGATTTTCTCTCAACACAAATAACAATACGTTAGTGTAGAGAAACCCAATCAACTATTTACCTTATTTAAACTTACTCAAAAATTTGCCCATATACTGTTTAAAAATGAACCTTACGTAAATATAAAAAATATTGTCCTTAGATTAAAGAGAGTATCCTTGTTAAAAGCTAACCTCCCTTAATCATATTTGGACTATTTTCTGTTCTTTTTACCTTTTAACATTCAATTCTCATTTTCGTTTATCTCTCGTTAACTAAATAAGTGATACCCTCCTATTTTCTGACAAGTAATTTAGATTGTGATATTTCCTAATCATTTGAAACCGAACTGATATATGCGAGAATATTAATTATGCTTACTTTAATCACTTTATAAATCTTCATCCATTTAAGTAGTCGTCCAAGCATAATCTCAATGTTAGCAATTGTCAAACTTCGTAATAACATAATCTCGATTACATTAATTTACATGTATATTCAAAACTATGCTGCATTAATAAATCAGTAAGATAATATAATTATTTAAGGCTTTTCTCAATTTTGGCAAAAAGGGAAATTTCCAATATTGAATATGTTCAAGGAGATGTATCTCTTCACTTTGGATCCTCAACTCACTCGGCATGGATGTATAGGTTTGCATTGCCAATATCATTACTGATTGGTTTAATTATACCAATTTCATTAATTTTATTTTTGTACCTCAACAGATAATTATTTGATAAGATAACATTTAGAAGACACATTGGCTATTTATTTAATGAATACAATATTAATAGGTCTTTTTGGGAATGGGTAAAGTTATGGAAGAAAACAATCATTATTGTGATATTGATTTATTTTGAAACGAATGTATATTTTAAAGGTATCTTGATTGCTATGTGCTTAACTATCTATTAAATAATCACGTCAACATATCAACCTTACATTTATCCAAAATTAAACAGGTTGGATTTGATCTCTGGACAATTTTGTCTAATGGCAATTTTCTTGGCTGCAGTTTAATATCTTTGCGAATAGTAAGGAAGTTATGTGTAAGCAAGAATTTTGTCAATTTTGATCGTGCTTATATGCTTTAGATTTAGTTTTCCATATCTTCATGATATTATTTCAGCTTATTATAGTAAATACAAAGATAAAATTCTCACACTACTCATAATTATTTTACATACATTATAACCTAAATCAAGCTTAATTTTGAAGTTAAATAGAAAACTCGATTCTTGGAGATAGCGGAATTTAAGGTTAGAAAAAAATGTGAAAAAGTTGAGATGGCATACAATTTAAAAGAAGCGTTAGGAGAAAAAAGAGTATTTATATTTTGCTATTTAAGACTATAACAAATTTGTGTTCCAACTTTATCACTTAATAAAAGTGGAGAATTAAAATTCAAATTGTTGAATTTATGAAATAGATATAAGAAATATTATTTTACAATTTATATAACATATTAAATCATTTTTATGTAAAACAGGAAATCAACCCTTAAGTTTCTAATTTTAACATAACTTACAAATTCTATTTTCTTTTAATATTAATAATGTTTTATGTATAAATTTTATAAATGCTAGTAGATAAAGGTATATTTAAGTCTGATTTAATGTTATTTTAAACAGCATTAAAAGAAAGTTTCTTTTAGAAAAGTTATAATTTTTCAACTTAAAAGAAGTCTTATTCGGAATGATTTTGATCTAAGCTTTAGAAAGAAATTCTATACTTGTCTGAAATTTGTTCTCTTTGAAAAATTTAATTTATCAAACTGAGTATTTACATATCAAAATCCTTTAAAGAATTAAAAACTCATACAAATTATAGTTTTTTGATTTGGTTGACTCCTGGATTAAATTTATTCTTACTTAATTAATGACTAAATCTCTTTGATTTTTTTCATTACTTTTTCTTTAAAAGCTTTAATTTCTTCTACCCACTAATTTGCTTAACAATTTGCACAAATGCCTCTAGGTGAGTATATGTTACTTCTGCTAAATTAATATTGTTGTTAATGATATTAAATATGATGCCCTTTCCATTTAAATCACATTTTTTATCTATTTGGTTGATTATTCTTTCCAAATTTCTTCAGCATACTTTGAATCTGATAAGAGAGCAGATTTATATGAAAACAAATGAGGTAGAATTTAAAAAAATGTAAGAATTATAAAGTAAAGATTAGTGGTTGTGGATTATACGATAAAGATAGCAAAGGCATAAAATTGGGTACTGGTTGATTTGGATGATGGATTTAGAAAATGGAAACAATTAATTTACAAAGGCAAATAGAAATATAATAATGGAAACAAAGTCGGTAGATGGGATATTGATTATAGGTCATGTGATGAGATAAACTTTTAAACACTGTAAATGTTATTTTATAAAAGTTTTATTTGGGTCTTTCTGATAAAATATATATAAGCTACATGTACAGCTGATTGAAAACTAAATGATTAAACAGCACTAATTGTATTTTTATGTTAAGACTTTTCTTTCCTATGCTGAACTTCAAAGTACCAAATTTTACAAATCTTTATTTACATTATATATGAACCTTATCCTCTGAACAAATTCTAATTTGGCTTTTTTTATTTGTGGTATGGAAAAACTATTATTTCAAAGAGAAATTATATTGGTAAATTAGTGTTATTAATCTTTGCTATTAAGTAAAGAAAGAGAGAAGGAGAATTTTTAAGAAAATTAGATCAGTTAATTTGCTCGTGTTGATAATTTAATTAACCATATAATGGTTTAAAATTTTTAGGTTTCCTTTAAATATTTCATGAGATTTCCAATCATTTGCAAAAAAAAAAATAAATAAATAAATATAGTTAAAAAGAGTAGAAAAATAAATAAAAATAAAGTTAAGATGAAGAAAAAATAAGGAGAGATGATA